CGAGGAAAACATTGTGATCACGTGGAAACACAAGATTGTTTTGTGAAAAATCATCGAAAATATTGTTTATTCATAAATCAATAAAGCAAACAAAAAAACCGTGCATTAGAGTTGTTGGTTTAGTGTAAAAAAGAGGAACTATCGGTAAGTACATTCAACAAATCTTTATATGCATACCGCCCTCGTGTTCGCCCTGATTTTCTTATGCCGAGCGGCTTTTGTCTTTTTTTTCCCTATTTTCTACTTCCTCTACTTTTTCTCCTCATTAGAAATGTGATATTTAAATTGTTACAAAAAAACATGTTTCAATCAAATTTTCTAGTTTTACTTCAAGTTGTATATATGTATTTTTTTTCTAAAATTCCAATAAAGTCGGTTGATCTTTAGATGCTTTCTTTTAAAAGAGAGAAAAATGATGAATCAAAGGTTTCGAGCAACATGGACGCGTTAAAGTTAAAAAAAGACCTTCGTCGTGTATTTTTTTCCTCCTGAACTGAAACGAAAAAAATTAAAACTATTATTCTGTGTTGAAAATAGAAAACTTTTTTTTCGGGTTGATTATTGATTTGTTCAATAGAATATATATAATAGCGAAGTCTTTGTTGGGTCAGTTATGGACATCTGGAAATAGCGTGAGTGGAACATTCCTTGAAGACGTTGCATGCGTTTCTATTAGGAGTTTCTATCTTTCTGATATTCTATTTCAAAACTATTTTCTACACTTCTGTTGTTTAGTCTCCTTTCTTTTTGTTCCATGAAAATATTTTCTCAATTTAATCATTTTTCAGTTATAATAAGAAGAAAAAATTGATTTGAAAAAAAGATAACAATGTATTAATAAACAATAATTAATAATTACATAATCTAGCTGTGTTAAATTATATTAAGATTTCTTTTCCTTAGAAAATTGATTTATAAATTTTAAATTGATGAAACTGAATGAATTGGAGAATATTTATATTATTATACATCTAGTTTAACTGTGAATTAGCATAAAGTGTTACGGACAAATAAATGATTGTCGATTTTTATTATAAAACTTGTCTTGCGATCGGACGAACCGGTCGCTAAAGATTTTTAATATAAATCCAAAGTGCAATGTCTTGTAAATCCCACATGTAATTTGAAAATACATTGAAGACGTTTGTGCAAGTGGAAATAATTTTGTAACTAAATAAAATAAACCCGTATTTTAAATATTATTTAATATTCTATTTTAATATTTAAAATAGGGGTTTATTTAATTTAATATTATAATATTATTTAATATTTTAATTAAATTTCAAAATTTAAATAAGTTAAAAAATTTTCGTTTTAATTGTCAAATTCTATTCGTCGCGAGTTCTTTGAATTTTAAATTTATCTTGAGATCTATTTTGTTTATGAATTTTTTGATTTGCTAATTTCTCTAAATTTTAATGTCTTCCGCTCTAAATTTAGTACTTGTCTTTCAGGATTTATTTTCTCCTGAGCGACAGTAATAATGCACTTTACTTAAGCGTGAAATTTTGTCGATTTACAATTCTAGACGCCACGTAATTATATAGTGCAATTGGAAGGGAAAGGAGAAAAAAAAACTAAAGTAAATAATTTTCTTAACTAAAATTAAATGTTTTAAATATTTCCGTCTACTTTTGCAAGACAAGATATATTTTTAAAATTACGAAATAATTGCCAGGTATTTTTTCTTACTATTATTGTGTATAATTTTTTCATTTATTGGCGAAATGATTAGTTTTTCAATTTCATTTTTTTTTCTTCGTTTTATACGTTGTGGTTTTATAATTAAAAATCTAGCTTTTGGTTTTGTTGGGGAAAATTTTTAATTTTATTTCTTTTTTTACACTTAGTTACTTCACTGACCTGACGATTGGACATTCCAAGCGCACGTTGAACCGAGAACACCTTCACCACTACAACACATATTCACTTGTTATCAGTTTATTTCAAGTAACACTTCTCTAATTTTATAAATCACACTCTAAGTGTAATTAATTTCATGATTTAATTTTACAAGTCACTTTTTTCCGGGAATGTTGTTTCTTAAGTTTCGAACGTTCAAATGAAGGGCTTTTTTTCTTACTTTCTTCGATTTTGATATTATTACAAAATTATTTTTGTTTATTGACAAAATTCTGCATAGTTACCTTAATTTTTAACAAATTAATTTTTTTAATTGATAAAATCAACTTTTACCAAAATTATTTTTGAGTACGTTCACAAAATTAATTATTAACAAAATAAATATTTACTTTACTTCATTTTTAATATTATTCACTTCTTATTTATTTTATTTTTATTTTTTTAGGTACTTTTTATTCATTAATAATTTCGAAAATTCTTAAATTCTCAAAGTTTTGACAACATTAATTTTAACCAAAATAATTTTTGTACATTGAAAAAATTAATTTTTAACAGAATAATTAAAATAATTTCCTTTATTTTATTTTTCATTTATAGTAAATAGTAATTTTTCGAAAATTCTAAAATTTTAAACAAAGGAATTTTTACCAAAATAATTTTTTGAACATTCACAAAATTAATGTTTACCAAAATAATTTTTGTACGTTGATAAAATTAAATTTGAACAAGATAATTAAAATAATTTACTTTATTTTATTTTTCATTTGTAGTAAATAGTAATTTTTTGAAAATTCTAAAAATTTTAGCCAAAGAATTTTTACCAAAATAATTTTTGTACGTTGACAAAAAGTAATTTTTAACAAAATAAATATTTACTTTACTTTATTATTCATTTTCATTATTATTTACTTATTATTTATTTTATTATTTATTTTTAATTTTCATTCATTAATGATCCTAAAGTTCTGAACGTTCAAATGAACGAAATTTATTTATTTTCTTCTTTAATTTAAATATTTATTACAATAATTTTTTGTCAATATAAAATAAATGAGTTATAAAGTTTCTAAGTGTAAAATTAAAGTTTTTAATTTTTATTGCAAACAATAAATTATAAAAAAATTTTTAATAAAAAGTGTTTCGTTCATTTGAACGTTCAAAACTTGTGGATCATATTCATTAGTAATTTTTGGAAAATTCTCAAATTTTTGTACATCAAAAATAATTTTTATACGTTAAAAACTGATTTGTAAGAAAATAAATTTTTTCTTTACTTTATTTTTTGTTTTTAGAAAATAGTAATTTTTATAAAAATTCTTAAATATATAGAAAAGAAATTTCTTCACTCGAACTTTAACTTTTTTTTTGCTCGCATAAGAAATCGATTTTCAACTTTTTCGTTTATTTTCCTTCAAGTTTTAATTTCATTTAATTACTGTTTAATTCACACAATTTTGAAAGCTATACTATAAAAAGGGAAATGCATTACTTAAAAATGAATAATTAACGATTTTTCAAATCAATGATTCAAGTCGTAAATATGTTAAATAAATGTGCGAACGTTTCAAATGTAACAAGATTACAATGTGAAATTTTAATAAATCGTCGTTTTTTAAACATTATGTAATTTTTAAAGTTCTTTTTTTTTTGAAAATATTTTCTCAACAATTTAAAAATTTATTTTTGCGAATAACTGTATTTGAAATAATTTTTTAATTAAGGAAAAATTTAATTGATTCAATAATTATTTTGAATAAATATTTACTTTGATAATAATCGAGCAAGTTTGGAGTAAATGCATTTTTTTCATTTTTAAGTAGGGGAAAGAAGCTCTGATTTAAATCTTGAAAGAGATGGTTTCTATAGCGTGAGTGACCGGTTTTGAAATTTTATTTTTTATTCTTCCCATAATAACGGAAAGACACGAGATGAAGAAATTTTCAGGTGCAATTTTTTTTTCCTTTTAAAAAATTGATATATTTAAATAATTCAAATTCAAATTTCGTTTATATGTTTTTATATATTTTTATTTATTGTTTTAATTTTTTTATTTATTTTTTTAAAAATATTTTTCATGTTAATTTATTTGTTATATATTCTTATTTATTTTACATTTTTATTTTATTTTACATTTTATTTATTTTAAATAAAAAAAATTGAAGTAGTTTTTATATTTTTTATTTATATTTTAATTTACGTTTTTCTTTATTTGAAACTAGAAAAATTAATATTGAAATATTTTTTATTTATTTGTTTATGTTCCTGAAGTTTCGAACGTTAAACTAAACGACGATATTTTTCTTTCTTCATTTGCTTTGAAATCTTATCAAACAAATTATTCCGCATATTAAAAAAAATAATTCTTAATTAAGCAAAAGTATTTAATTTGCATTATTTTCTATTTTATTTGAGAAGTTTTTAAAAATATCTAAAAAAAAAAATTAAATTTCGTTCAGAACTTTAGAATTTTTTTTATTACTTTTTTATAAGTTTGAATTTTGGTAGAAAATATTAATTTACAATTTAAAAAATAAATTATTTATTTTTTATATTTTACATTCTTATTTACTTTAAACTAAAGAAACAAGAATTTAAGTATTTTTGTATATTTTTTATTTTTATTATTTACTTTTTATACTTATGATCCACAAAATATTTCCAGAAGTTTTACTGATTCCAATTAAAATTTAAAACTGAAAATATACATTTAGAAACTTTATATAATTAATTTTTTTTATAGTGACGCAAAATTTGTGTAATAAAAATTTAATTTGAAGAAGAAATAAATAAATTTCGTTCATTCGAATATTTAGAACTTTCGGGTAATTTTTACACTTATTTATTTCACTCAAAAGAAACAAAATTTGATATAATTTTACATTTAAAATTTCAAACATAAAGCGAAAGGAGAAAAAAATTCGGATTTTTTGGATAAATTTTTCTTCACTTCTAAAAAAAAAAAATTCCCCTCAAATTCTCACGTGGATTCCTTTAAGTCTTATAAAGTTTCACGTGTTTGAAAAGATTGAGAGAAGCGCCTGCGCGTTTTTCAGAGTAAAATATTCTGGTTTTACTGGTTTGAGAAAGACACGTGCTGAAAGCCGGTGATCTTTAATGCAAACGATAGTACCTAGCCAACTGCGAAGTGCTACGTACAACAGAATCTTTCCATGTGTGTAAAGTTTCATATTTGTTTCGTGTCGATTATTGGAAGAAATAATTTTTTTGTTCTTTTAGTGTAATTAATTTTATTTTTTTTTTGTTGATATTTTTTTGTATCAAAATTTATTGAACTTATTCACATATATTTTTGTGAATTATATTTATTTTTTGCGTGAGATTTCGTTTCTCGTGAAGTTTGCGTTATTTATTACTTTCGAATTTCTAAAGCGAAAAAAAAAACAAAAACAATAGTCATCAGCATGGATTCGAAGTCGGTAAGTCGTCGAGTCATGCAGTTTCCCTTTTTAAATCTTCAGAAAAGTTTATAACAAAATTTTTCAATAATAATCTTTGATTTCTTCGCTGTTCTTATCCTACCATATGTCAAATAGTTTTATCTATCTATTAATCGTTGATAATTGAAAAGTCAATGGATTATTAAAATTTAAATCAAACTGTCGATCAATACTTGAAATCTATTAATTTAATAATTAATTTTTATTATTTTTTGTTTTTAATTATTTTTCATTTTGAAAATTGTGTTAAAAATTTAAGGAATTTAAATCTAAACGAGAAAAAGAGAATATAGTGAGGAAATATTTTCTAACAATACAAATAATGAGAGAAAATTTCGAAAATCTGAATTTATATACAAACAAGAATATTTTGATAGAAATTCAAAAATTTGAAATTATTTCCAAAAAGTGCAATCACAAATTTTATTTTTTTCTTTGAAATCGTTTTAGTTTCGTTTTTTACAATACATAAAATTAAATAGTGAACCACTTTGAAAGATTTATAATTGAGAAAATTTGAATAATGAACCAAAAGAATATAAAAAGTGTATTTTTTGAACAATTAAATTTTCAAGTCCTCAAAATTATTTCATTCAAGTGAATCGTTGTTATTTTTCCTTTAGATTCATAATTTAATAAAAGACAAAATTTAGTAATGATTTATTAGACGGAATATTACATTGAAATAGATCGAAATTGACCTAATTTCATAAGGAATGTAGATTTCATTCGCCACCACGTATTAAAGATTACGAAAGTTCCACACACTTTAAAATATCGCCAAAAGCAAGATAGCAGGTTTAAATCGCAGCATTAATCATGGTTATTTGAGAATTTTATTCTGTAATGTCATTAAAATTTTATCCTTCAATGACCATGTATATTATGTGATTATCTTTTCTCCATTCATAGAATATATAATAATGTAAATATTATTTACGTCTATTATAATTCGAAAATATTTTCCTTTTGTCTATAAGTAAATTTATTTTTTTCTTGACAACAATTGTTTAAAAAGTATTGTAAAATATCTTTTCTATTATATCATTTTATTCACGTTCATAAAAAATGATAAAATTAAATTTATGTTTTCTAACGAAATGTATAGTATATCGGTTGATAATATGCTTTTTTGTGTTCTTTTTATCTTTTTTTTTTAATAAAAGTTTTATCTTGGATTACTCTATACGTAATGTTGAAGGAAAATTTTTATATTAATTATATTCGTTTACAGTGGAGGAAAAAATTTTAACTTCTTCAAATAATTTATTAAATTAATTAAGTTCTAATTTTGAAATTATTTTTTATGAGCAAAAAGTTAATATCGGAGAAATTTCTTCTTTATTGGAATTTTAATTTTTTTTTTTGGGAAAATTTCTTTTTAATTAAATTAAATTAAAGAGTATTATGGAATGAGAAAAATGGTAGATTGGATTTGAAGTATATTAGTTAATATGTAAATAATTACTGGAAAAAATGCATTCGTCAGGTATTGAAATGAATACATTGTTATAATATGCTACAATGTATCAAGTAGTCAGCTTTATCTAAACTTAACAGTCATTTCGATAAATGACCACATTAGACATTTATATATTCTTGCAGTAAGCAAAAATTATCACAAAACTCGTAATCTACCTTTTAACAAAATTTACCAATTCTAAAACAATTTTTTTTTTAAATAAATAAAATATTTATAAATTAGAATTTATTCAATTTCAGTTATTTTCTAAATGGTTTAAAAGAATTGTAAAGTAACTTTTATAAAGTTCACTAAACTTGAAGAAATTTATAATTAATTAGATTTTTTTAGATTTAGATTTATTTTCTCCATTGTACACTTAACATAAGTTTTACAATATTTGTCCCTCCAACTTAAAGTAACATATAAGTTATGAATGTTTAACAATATTATTTATAATTAATTAAATTTATAATATTTAAATATTTACAAAATAAATGAAAATAACTAAAAATAAATAAACTATTTATAAATATTTTATGCAATTTAGTTGCCTTCTAAATAGTTCAAAAATTTGTAAAGTAATTTTTATAAATTTTTTTAAAATGAAATAAATAAAAAAATATTTATAAAATAAACTAAAAATAAATAAAATATTTATGAATATTTTATTCAATTTCAGGTGTTTTTTAAATATTTAAAACAAATTTTAAAGTGATTTTTATAAAATTCTTTAAAATTGAACAAACCTAAAAAATATTTAGAAAATAACTGAAAGTAACTAAAAATAAATTATATTTTTATGAATATTTTATTCAATTTTACACACACGTGTCAGGGACATTTTAGGGAATTTTATCGAAAATGCCGGAAAAATATAAAATCTCTAGAATTACTAAAAAAAATTTTACAGGGTGGCCGCTGGACCGGGAAACCGGGAAAACCGGGAAATGACAGTGAATTTTTTTGGACAGGGAAAAACCGGGAAATGACAGTGAATTTTGATCTTGACCGGGATTTTGGAATTTTTTTTTTAAAAACACACATTACTTTGTGAAAAAATAGAAATATTTATTTTAAGACTTAGGTATTAACTATATTTCATTAAAAAAGATTGAATGATCTTCTATAAAATCTATTTATATTTTGTCAGAGAATTTTATAAAAAGTACTATAAAAATATTCAATTTCTAGAATTTATAAGAAAATTATGAATTTTGTTGTCCAACATAACAGACTTAGAAAAAGAAAATATTAAATTTAATTTTAAATTCTTTCTATTTCTAACAATAATTAAACAAAATATAATTTTAATTAAATTTGTCAAAAAAATTTCAAAGAGAAAAAATTTCACATCCTATAAAATAATGAAAAATAAATCAATTTAAAAATTTTTTTGCAATTAATATTATAACAAAACAAATAAGAATTATTAAAAATTTGAACTAATTAGAACAAAAGTGATACGAAATTTATAAAAATGAATTTTTGAATAATAAATAAAGTAAATAAAAATAAATAAAATTTCTTTTCTTAGAAAATAAATTTTAAAAAACCGTATTTTTCATTAATATCAATTAGTTTTTTTACAATTATTCATAAGCAAATTTTTCGATTTTTTAGAATGTTAAATTAATATTACTAATATTATTATAGATTGAATTTTAAAAAATTTCAAATTGAAGTTTTAGAAAAGTTGAATTTTAAAAGATTTTAATTAAAAATTCTGAATAATTTAGTCTTTAAAAATATTTTTATTCACATTTTTTCAAATTAGTTATGTTTTTGAATATGTAATATTTAATTGAAAAATATTCAAATTATTCAAAATTTCATGAAATTGTCTTGTAAACAAGTGGATTTTAGAAATATTTTAGTTATTTCTAGAATATAATTGAATTGAAATTTTGAATATAATTTTTAATAAGTTGCAGTAGCAATTCTTAAAAATTATTCAGATTTAAAGGATTTGAAATTTGAATTTTTTTTTGAAATTTGAGTACCTACTATATGAAAAAATAATGGATAATAATTAAATATTTATTTTAAAAAATCTATTTAAGTTCAAAATTATTTTTAGAGTAAACTAAAATATTTTTAGGGTTTGGGAAAAAGTCAAACTTTTGTCTAAAAATCAGGAAATTCTTTCAATCTTTCATTGAATAATTTATTTTCAGAGTTATTATTTATGACCGGGAAAAATAATTTATGACCGGGAATGGACCGGGAAATGACCGTGAATTTTTTTTTACAAAAAAAGTGGCCACCCTGATTTTACATTCTAGTGTCATAAAAATTTTATTAAAAATATTTTCAAAAAAATAATCGAACTCTAAAGGGTTTTAAATTAAAATTTTTGAAAATATCAATTGCTGTGAAAAATTGATAATAATTACCTACATATCTACTTATTTAAAAATAAGTTTAGTTTAAATAATACCTACATTTATTTTATTTCAAAAGAATTATTATTTGTGATAAATTTTAATTCAATTTTTTAAACATGTAAAATTTAAATTTTGCCAAATCGAATAGAAAATAAATAAATTTGTTACACAATTTCATTAGAGATATAAAAAAATTGAAGTTTCAAAAATATGTTAATTTAATTTTAAGTAAATAATTACATTTTAGTGTAGCAATCAAATGTATTCATGTTAGTATGAAAATCAACTTTAAAAAATATTTAAATAAAAACTTGTTTAAAAACTGAATTTTCGAAAAATGTTATTTATAATTTTGAAAAATTAGGTATTTAAAATACTTTAATTACTATTGTTTAAAGAAAATTGAATTTTCATAAACAAGTATTTGATATTTTTTTTAATTGAAATTTTGTAAAATTTTATTAAAAATATTTGCAATTTTGTAAAATTGTATTAAAAATAATTAAATTATTAAGAGTTACGTTTACAATTTTTGTAAATAATTGAATTTCAATACTAAAAACTTTAAATTGTTCTTGAATTTTCTTTTTTACTTAGAAAAGTTCATAAATATTCCAATTAGCATTTTTTTTTATAAAACAAATTAAATTTTTGTCCTTGAATTTTCTTATTCACTTTAAAAATTTTGAAAAAAACTGAAGATTTACACTTTCCATTTTTTATAACAAAAAATTTCAATTTTTGCATTAAAGTAATTGAATTTTCGAATGTTTTATAAATTTTTGAAAATAAATGATTTTTAGAAAAATTTTTGTTTCAGAATTCTAGAAAATAATTAAATTTTGAAGAAATTTCAAAAAAGTTTAAAATGAAAATTTTAGAAATAATAAAATTTCATAATGTTTCAAATTAAAGTTTTTGACAATTAAAATTTTCAATTGCTTTAGTTGAAAAATTTTTGAGATTAGTTTAATTTTCTAATATATATTTTTTAAATAGAAAATTTTCAAATAATCGTTTTGAAATATTTAATTGTAAACAACTGGAAACTTTTATTTATTGTGTTAAAAATTGAATTCTCAAAGAGCTTTCTCAAAAAATATTAAAATTAATTGATTTAGAGAAGATTTCTAGTTAAAAATTCTAGAAAATAATTGAAATTAAATCATGTAATTAATTTTGAAGTTACGTTAGGAATTCTTATAAGTTATTGAATTTCGAAAGGTTTAAAATTTGAAATTTTAATTCCTGTGGACAAAAATGTTTATCTAGAAAATTAACTAATGTTTACGAATAATTCTACTAAAAATATATTCACAATTAAATGTATTAGAAATATTTTTTCTGTATCCAATAATTTTGAGAGCGAATCAGAATATTCTTTAGGTTCTGGAAAAAAGACAAAATTCTCTCTAGAAATCAGGGAAAACCAAAATGAAATTTTTTAATAACCCTGTTTTAGTTTTTTTCTGAATTCTTAAAAATATTTGTATAAAGTAATTTTTATTTTCGTTATAATTAAAGGAATCAAAATCGTGAATTAAAAATGACGCATATAAAAAAGGTTAATGTTCACTACTGATTTTTGAATTTATTTTACAGATTGCTGTGTTTTATTTTAACGGTTGCAACCGTGGACTTACACGATGCCGTCGACATCAATGCATTTGGTGAAGTGGACATTTCCAACATTAGCAATTTTACTTGGACTTTTTTGGTACAGACGTCGACGCGCGGACCGAGTTGATCCTGGTGGGAAATCAAAATCGGATAGCGAAATAAAAGCAAATAATACAAAAAATATAACGAAAAAAATTGAATGCGATTCCGGTATAAATACAGACGATTCATTTTCATTTAGTACAACGTCATTATCGCCTTCGAACGTTGATATTTGCTCACCAAGAAAAGTAAGCAGCAGTTTAGATATTCCTGGAAGAAAGCCATCAGTATCAATGCCAATATCAATGAAATCAGTGAAATCAATTGAAGAGCGTATTCCCTGGTACGATGACGACGATGACGATGATGAACTAGAGGAGGAAAAGGAAATTGTCGAGGAAACACGTAAAATTAAATTGGGTAGCAATCCAAGATCAAGTTGCTTTGAAATGATGTCAAATAATAGGCCATTCTTTGATAAAACTCAAATTGAAAGTGAAATTAAATTACCGAAAATATGTGACAATGTTATTGAGGAGGATAAAGTAACTGAGAATCGTTTGAGTCAAGAGGTGTCTATTAAGGAGGAAATGAAAAGTACCAGTGTGCCTGAAAGTTGCAAGAAAACTGTCGATGTCGTGAATGTCGATGAAGCTAAAAGTCAAGCTCTCTGTGAAAGAGATTCAGCGAATCACAGTCCTCTCTCTGCTGTCTTAGATGGAAGTCTCACCGATGAAGCGCGAAGCGAAGGAAGTACAGACAGTGGAAAAGGTAAATTTAAATTTAAATAAAAAATTATTAGTATTTAAAATATTTTTCCTCATGTCACGTTGAGCGTCGAAAAGAAAATTTAAAGAATAAAACAATCTTTTCGATGTTTTTAGATTAAAAAAGTACTCGAGAAAATTTTCTAACTTCCTAGGTGAATTTAGTAGCATTTTCGTTTCCGAAAGCCTCAAAAAATAGTTTTCTACACAAAGCGTTGATTTTAATTTCAGGGACATTTTTCTTTTAATAATAACAGGGCTCGAACTAGGTCCGTAAATTTGCTTAAAGTCCGTAAAAGTCCGTTTTTTAAAAAAAAAAAGGTCCGTAAAGTCCGTAATTTGATAGAAAAAGGACAAAAAGTTCGTAAATTGTAAGATATAATTTGGAGAATTTTAGAGAAATTACAAATGATTGTAAAAATTCAATTATTTTCAAAAGTAATAAAATTCTTCTTCAAAATTCAATAATGTTCAAAAATTTTTAAAAATTCTCATCAAAATTTCAATTATTTTTAGAAATAATAAAATTCTTCTTCGAAATTTAATTATTTTCACAAATTTTAATAAAATTCTTGGACGAAATTTCAATTATTTTTAGAAATAATAAAATTCTTACTCAAAATTCAATTATTTTCACAAATTTTAATTAAATTCTTAGACAAAATTTCAATTATTTTTAAAAATTTTCCTCAATTCAATGATTTTTAATATTTGCTATTTTTATCAAATTTTTCAAAATAATTCAATTATTTAAAAAATTTTTAATAAAATGCAACGCAAACATTTAAATATTTCCATAAAATAATCAAAATTTCACAGGAATTTAATTATTTTCATAAATAATACAATTTTTACAGGGATTCAATTATTTTCGTAAATAAAATTCTTTTTAAGAATTCAATTATTTTTATAAATAATAAAACTCAATGCTGAATTTTAATTCCATTTTATTGGAATTTCTCGAAAAGTGTAATCATTTTTAAAACTTTTATTAAAATTCGTCGAAAGAATTTAATTATTTAAAAATTTGTTGATAAAATTCTTTATGAAAATTCAATTATTCAATAAATTATTTTTTTAATTTAAATAATTTAATTAAAAATAAATTTCACTTCAACTTTTAGATAAAAATTGAATATTAAAACCATTATAGTGTGATTTTTTAGAAATAATTGAATTTTGAAAAGGTTTTATATTAAAAACTTTGAAAATTTTAATTAATTAATTTTTTTGAAAAAGTTTGTTTCAATTTTACTTGAAATTTTTTTTTTTTTATTTTTATTTTCTAATATATTTAATAGAAGAATTCCCGGACAATTGATAGTAAAATTTAATTGTAAACAAATGAATTTGAAAATTCTCAAAGAACTTTTTCAAAAATTATTAAAAATAATGGATTTATAGAAGAATTTTAGTTAAAAACACTAAAAAAAAATTTAATTTTGGAAAAATGACAAATTATTGCAAAAATTCAATTATATTTTTGTATTTTAATAAATGAATTTATTCTAGTAGAACTTTCTAATAAAAATTGATTTAAAAGTGAATTAATTAAAATTTTAGATAATAATTAAATATTAAAAGCAATAAGCGTAAATTTTTATAAATAATTGAATTTTGAAATTAATTTTGTTGAAAAGGTTTAATTGAATTTTTTTCTATATTATTTGAAGTTTTTATTTTCTAATATATATTTAATTGGAGAATTTACGAATAATTGAAATTTCGTAATATTGAATATTGTAAGCAAATGAATTTGAAAATTGTCAAAGAACTTTTTCGAAAATTATTAAAAATTATTGATTTAGAAGAATTTTAGTTACAAATTCTTGGAAATAATAATTGAATTGAAATTATGAAAATAATTTTGAAGTAGTTACAGTAATAATATTCTTATATAATATAAAATAATGATTTTATCACTGGGCCATCTTTAATTATTATAAAAATTGGTAATTTTTCATTTTTGGTCCTGAAAGTCCGTATTTTTAAATACTTTCACTGGTTCGAGCACTGTAATTTTAATAATTTTTGTTTAAAGTTTTAATGATAATTTTAATAACATACTTTTGAAATTTCAGGTGGAAGTATAAAAGGACCGATAAACAATAATATTCGTACGAGTTATGATTTCGCTGTGCCACTACATTTAGTTGGGAAATTGATTGGTCAGAAAGGAAGTTTCCTTCAAAGTATTCGACAAAAGAGCGATGTTAGAATTTCCGTGAAACGTTTTACAAATATGAAGAATCATAAACTTTGTGTTATTGAAGGCTCACCGGAGGGAATAAATTTAGCATTAAGTCTGATAAGACAAAAGTTCCCTGAGAAGAAGTATCCACAATTTACTCTTGATCAGTTGTCTGTTCCAAAATCACAAGATGAAACACCATGGATTTCTGAATTAATGCATTTGTCATTAGTCGAGGGTGTCAATAATGATGTATTGGTGTGTTACATAGTCAAGCCAAATCGTCTTTTTATACAAATTCCCACACATCCGACATATCCAATGCTTAGGACTTTAGATGATAACATTACGCAATTATACGAAACAACTGAATCACCTCCAGTTCCCGACGAACTTTGCCGTAAGTTTTATTTTCTTTTTATTTCTAAATAATAGAAAAATATTTTTTGTAATTTGAAAAGAATATGTATATTACAGGCCTTGGATAGTATGACTTTCGATTTTCAAAAAGTGCAACTTTCTTCGACTTCTTTTGATAAAATGTGACTTTTTCGCCTTTTCTTCCACGTATCGCAACTAAATACCGCTTTTTTGGTATAAAATGCAACTTTTTCGACTTCTTTTCATAAAATGTGATGCTTTCGACTTTTTTTCATACTGCAACAAAATACCACTTTTTTCGTATTAAATGCAACTTATTTTGATATTAAATATTGTGATAAAAACCTATAATTAAATCTTTTCTTTAAAAAGTCTTGAAAAATTGTCAAATTACGATTGATATTAATTTACAATCAACTTTGGGTACTAATCATTTATTGATTTTATTTTATTAACTGAAAACGGCTTTGATTCGAAACCCGTTTGTTCTAATTTGACAAATTTTTTTAGCGCACTGTAAAATGAAATTATTATTCATTTAAACAAATTTTTGGAATTTACTTTTGAATTAGACTTGCTTTTTTACATTTTTATGAATTTTTACAATTGTAGAGTTGCTACAGGTCAAAAAAATCAGAAAATTTTGTGAATTTCATCCAAGATACATAGTGGAAAAATATCAAATTTTTAGAAATGCGACAAAAAAATTTCTTATTTTTAGTGTCCTTTGAAAAGACTAAAAGCCGTAAATTGAGGGGCGGCTCCATAGAATAAAGGGACAAGCGCGTGGTTGAAGGGGATAATACCAGTCAGGTAGCAGTGAGTTCCCTTATTCTATGGAGCCCCTCAATTGTTCTTGAATTTTCTAAACTATAAAGAGCTACACTTTTCACTTTTTCTAAAAAAAAATTAACTTTTGTATTAAAATAATTAAATTTTCGAATAACTTTCTATAATGTTTTGAAAATAATTATTTAGTAGAAAATTTTTGTTTAAAATTCTAGAAAATAATTAAATTTGAAAGAAGGTGCAGTAGCTATTTTTAGAAATAGTTTTGTCCTTCAATTTTCTTTTCCACTTTAAAAACTTAAAAAAAAAAAACTATCAAGAGTTACACTTTTTACTTTTTATACAAAAAATGGGAATTTTTGTATTAAAATAATTGAATTTTCGAATAACTTTCTATAAATTTTTGAAAATAGTTGATTTAGGTAGAGAAAAATGTTAATTCAAAATTCTAGAAAATAATTAAATTTTAAAAAACAGTACTATTTTTAGAAATATTTTGGTTTCAGAAAGTTTCAATTGAATATTTGAAAAAATAATATTTTAAAATGTTTTGAATTAAAATTTTTGAAAATTTAAATTTTGAATAACTTAAATTGTAAATAACAATTAAAAATTCTAAATAACTTGATTTTTTGTAAAATTTTAATTGAAACATTTTTGAAATTAGTTTAATTCTCAAAAAACTTTCACAAAATTATTAAAAATAATTGAGTTAGAGAAGAATTTTGTTTAAAAATTCTAGAAAATAATTGAATTTTGGAAAAGTTACTGTAGCAATTTTAAGAAATATTTTAATTCAGAAAATTCCAAACTAAAAATTTTAGAAAATTTCAATTAATAGAAATTTGAATTGAAATTTAAATATTTAATAATAATATTTAAATACTCATTTTAAAAAGTTCTTAAACTTTTGAATAAATTCAGTTAGAATTTCTGGAAATTAATAGAATATTGGAACAATCGTAGTAAAAATTATTAGAAATAATTAAATTTCAAAAGATTACAAATTAAAATTTTAAAAAATTTTATTTTGAATAATTTTAATTAAAAGTTCTAAAGAAATTAGTTTTCAAAAAATTTTGATTCCCATTGTTTTGAAATTAATTGAAGTTTTGAATAAATATTATTGTATTTAAAAAGTTTTGAATCAACAAATTTTTGTTATACCGAATTGAAAAAAATAGAATATTAGACGAATTTCAAGTGTATTTTCTACTTTTCTTAAATAATAAATTCTCGAGGATTTTTTTTTAAATTATTAAAAATATTTTTTTTAGATAAGAATTTGAGTTAGAAATTCTATAAAATAATTATACTTTAAAGAAGTTATTATAAAGTTATTATAAGTTATTATAAATACTTAAATTTCAGAAGATTTAAAATTAAAAATTGAAAATTACAATAATTTGAAATTTAATTGAAATTCAATTAAATATTTTTAATAATAAATACTGTATATTAAATACTTATTTTAAAAACCTATTAACCTTTTGAATAAATTTTGTTAAAAATTCTGGAAAGTATTTAGAAGAATGACAATTATAATTTTTAGAACTAATTAAATTTTTATTATTGAAATAAATTGTTTTAAAAAATTGCATTATAATTTCTAAAAGTAATCGTTTGTTTTTGAAGAAAAATGTTAGAAGTGTTAAAATTTTTGTAAAAATACGAAAATTCCAAAATATCAAAAAATTATTTGAAATTAATTGAAATTTACAAAAACTGAAAATTTTAGTTATTGGAATAAAGGAAAAAGCTACAATTTTTTTCTAGACATTAGGAGACAGTCAGAGATAGAATCTCAAACTTTTGTGACAATATTCAGAAGAAAATAAACGACTTTTTAAAAATTTTTTTCTACTTTCAATCAAGTAATAAACTTTTTTCGCCTTAAAGTCATTTCGAGGCCTGACATTATTATAATTGTTAAATAATTCTAATACAATTTTTACTATTTGTTTGCAGGAGGCATGATTTTTGTAGCAAAATTATATAATAGGTGGATGAGAGTGTACGTGGAGAACCCCGATCCAAAGGGAGAACAACATTTAGTTCGTCTCGTGGATCACGGCGGTTATTGGACACTCAGCAGTGCCGATATGAGAAAAATAAGATCTGATTATCTCACTTTACCATTTCAAGCCATTGAAGTATTTTTAGCAAATGTTCGACCAGTTAATGGTACGTACGACCTCGAATATTATGACTTTTTTTACTACTTTAAAAAAATGCGACTTTTTTCTACTTATTTTTAAAAATTGCAACAAAATACCACATTTTCAGTATAAAATGCAACTTAATTCGTTTTTTACAGTGTGAAAAATAACTGTAGACAAATATTTAAAAAATTATATTTGAATAATTTTTCTAAAATTTAATTTTTAAAATATACAAATATTTATATACAATTAAAAAGATTTTTAATAATTGAAGAATTTTAATTGCAAATTTTGAAAATAATTAAATTGTTAAAAATTTTAACGAAAAATCTTTAAGTGTAAATGTGAAAATAAAAATGAATGAAAAGTAGCTTCTAAAAATTATATTAAAATATTCTTGAACAAAGTAATTCTTACAATTTTGTCATTCTAATTTTTTAAAATTCCATTATTTTCAATATTTTCAATTATATATTCCTGAAAATTCAAATACTTACAAAAAATAATAACATTACAATTTTTTTCAATTATTTTAAACAGTTTTGAGAAAAGAATCATGTTCCAAATTTTTAATTAAAATTCTTAAAAAAATGAATAGGTTTTTTTTAAAATTATACAAAAATTCTTTTAAGATATTCAATTATTTTCGAAAAACTACTTTACAATATTTTCAAAAAACTAGGTAGTTTTTAGAATTTTTTTATCAAATTTTTTTCTGATTCAATTATTTTCGAGCAAAGTAAATTAAAATTTTATATAAATTAACTTTTTTAGATTTATTAAAATTTCGGATAAATCATGTTCATATTTATAATTAAAAATTGTCCAAAAATTTTACTATTTTTTAATATTTTTCTAAAATTTAATTATTTTAAAAACATTTTACCAAATTTTAATTATTTAAAAATATTTTTAAAAAATTAATTTTAAGAATTTCTTTATTACAATTTATTGAAAATATTATACCTTAATATTTAAAAAAAAAACTTGAACAGGTGCAGTTAAAATTATTATTAAAAAATGGAATTTTCGTAGTTAAATAATTGAATTCTCAAAGAACTTTCAGAAAATTTTAAAAAATAATTAATTTAAAGATGAAGATTATTAATTAAAAATTATGGAAAATAATTGAATTTTGAAATATTTTTAATATTTAGATATTATTAAATTTTAGGAGGTTTTAAATTGATTTTTAAAAATTTTATTTCCCTTGGAAAAACAAATGAGAAGTATTTAAATTTAACAAAATTATTCAATTTTTGAATGATTGAATTTAAAAATCAGTGAAATGTTAGGGAAATACAAAATAAAATTTTGTAACAACCAACAATAATTTATTATTTATTTATTTTTATAATTTAAATTTTTCTAATTAATACTTTTCTGTTTAGGTGTATGGCAACAGGAGGCATACGATTTAGTGTCTCAAATATGCAGCGGAATAGTCGGTCAAGCACAAATTGAAGGATATGTCGACTCTCATACGTACGTGAGTCTATATCTAACTATTCAAAAACATGGTGTTATCTCTCTAGCTGACGAATTAATAGCTCGAGGTTACGCGGAACCCTCAACGTTAGAAGAAGTAATGGATGAAACAGAATTACCATACATGTGAAAAAAGGAAGAGAATTTTGAAGAGAAAATTGTGCGTAATTCCGGTTATTAATCCAACGTATGAGTATAGTCGAAAAATTAGGTAAATAAGTCGATTATGAATGCGTGGCTGTGTGAGAAATCTTGCGTGCTTATTTTTTAAGTTTATCTTTAAGATCTCTGAAGGTATATGATTAACAATAGTCAACAAAAATTGGTATGTGCTCTATAAATGCACATTGTGCTGCCAGTTTAAGAGTCTGATTTTCTAATAATCTTCTTTTTAAATATATAGTCACTTTGATACAATTTAATAATTATTATAAAAAGTCCGATACGATTAATAATAACTAAACTAAACTAGATTATTGCTCACATTTGTATTTAAGTGTCAAAGTCTGAGTGTAAATAGAATTTACAGTTTTCCTCTTTTTTTAAGTCATTAGAGCATTTATATTAAATATGATGAAATTTTTCTCAACATGATTTCTATAAATTATATTTAAACTTGTATTTACATTTCTATACAATATTGATACTCTATGATGTCAAATATTGAGAATACTTTTTTTTATACTGATAATCACTTTGAAATTTTACAATTTTACTTGATTTTTTCGTAATTGAACAATTTTTTTTGCAAATTAATAGTTTTGTCCAATATCAGTGATGAAAAAATGTTCATGAAAAATAACTGGCAGGGAATTCTTCCTGTAAATAATATTGTATACCTTCATTTAAATGTAGAATATTTATAACAATGTACCTAAAATAATTGTTATATCCCGCAAATGCTAGTTAATTTCAGATGTTAATAGTAAAACATAAGTGTAGTTTATTTATACGTTTTACACTTTATCGAGTAAACAAGAAAAGGATAAAAAAAATTATGATGCTTTACGAGGACGCTTCACGAATCGGGAAATTCACGTCGAATATATACCGCAGCATATATATTATATAGTTTGGGACTTTAGCTTGTAATACAAGTAATAATACCTGAAAAGCATTCTTTCAGGGTAACCTTGATTTCGTGGCCTAGAAGCTGGGGATCGATTTCAAATTTTGTATCCTATGATATACATATAATGTGCTACTTGCGTTTGAAAAAAAATCCTATATATGTTTGGATAAAAGTTAAAAATTTATTCTTTTTCTTATTTTTCGTGAAATTTTCAAATTCTAAGAAATATATATTTCATTCTCTTTTGTTAAAAAAAAAACAAATTGTTTTCTTTTTCACGAATCATTTATTTTTTATAGAAGAGAAAATTTTTGTACAACTATATTTTAGTACTAGATCCAAATTGAAAGCATGAAATTCTCTCTGTTTTTTTAACATTTATAATTATTGAAAAAAAATTTCATTTAAGATATATAAAGACACGTGCTTTTGAACGTGCTTATGTTATTTACATTATATAATTAAACGTTTTGTTATGTGCGAGTAGCGAACAATAAATTTAAAAAAAAAAATAAATAAAAAGAAACAAAAAATTGGGAAAAAAATGAAACGACAATTTATAAATTTTGTACGGCATTTGTCAGAAGAATTTTTCATATAATAACATGTTGAAACTTTATAATTCATATTGTTGACATGAGCATATATAGTAAAAATATTTTTCTAGATAATATTCTCAATAATAATCATTCAATGACGAAAAGTTACATTTAGACTATGGCTCAGTTTTTAATAATGTATAAAAAAAAAGATATTGCTACAGACAATATTGTATGTAAGAAACTTTTCTTTTCTTTTTTTTTCGAGAAAATGTGTACAAGAGGTGAGAGATGCTTGGCGAAATCACTTAAATCAATTTTATTCGTTTTTTGTAATCGTATTCATAATAATTATAACGACTATTATCCCCAGCTATTAATTAGCGTGGTTTTCATCTAAGAATGTAAATGAAGGAAAATTTTGTATGTATATATATAATTCAATGTAACTTTTTCGGCGTTTTCATTAAATTTACAAAAATTTTAATTCAATTCTGTGCATTTATTCTTCTTTAATTTCCTACTTATACAATTTATTAAAACTCTAATCTTTGAGTTATTAAAAAAAGAATAAAATTACAATTTAGAAATTTTTTATGTATCGAATTTTCAAATAATTTATTTATTTATATTTTAAATAAAAATTTTGCGTCACTATAAAAAAAATTAATTATAAAGCTTACAGATTAAAAATTCTTTTTTTCATATATTTATTGCAATTATTTACTTCATTGCAAACAAATGTACAATTAATTAATTTTTAAATTAATTAAATTAAATTAAAATAATTATTTAAATTAATTTAATGAAATTAGATTAATTGAATTAAATTAAAATTATTATTTAAATTATATTATATTAAAAAATATTTACAATAGCAAATCTTATTTGAACATTTAAAACTTTTGGATCAATTATTTGAATTCAAATTATTTTACCGCTCTTTTCAAGTGGCCAATCAGCGTTCCCGACAGAAATTGTAAAGTAGCGCATGCGCAGAAAGTAGAGCACAGTGAGTCAAATGCAGATTTATACAATAAAAAGTAATTACATATTTAATTTATATATCTTGAAAATAATAATTTTATTTGCAACATATTATATTTTTGTCGATATCACATTATGTACCACATTTCTTTTGAACAATTCGATTTTCTAATATTGAAATGAATACTTGAAACAATTAGTTGATTATTTGACTACTGGAGTTATGTTCACGCCATTACCATTAGTCGCCGTGTGGCGAGACTACAGATTTACAAGTGCAGGAAATTTACAAAATCCCTTTTATTTAATGTACCTAAAGTGTGTAATCTCGTCGAAATTAGTAAAAGTAGAAAGTATTTTTTCAGTTTTTGGTAAAAGTAATAGTTCCGGGAGTGTTTTTGTGTGGTAAAATGTTAAAAACGTGTAGGGACGCACGCGAGTCATTCTCTTACGGTATTTTGCAAATGTCACTTCTTTTTCATTATATTTTGACAAATGGAGATATTTTGTTTTTGTTTTTAATTGGGGTAATTGATTTTCGGTGATTTTTGGGTGAACGTAAACGATATAAATAGATTACTTTGAAAATTGGGATCATAACCTCAAAATGTACATGTTTTGAGTACCCCTGCTGGTAGGCAACCGCGGGTGATTTTTTACAATGGTGGCAGCACTTCTACAACGTGAAACAATTTCAGGTACATATTTCAATGGTAAATAATTAAATATTTATTAATATGAGAAAATTTATAATATTTAAAATACATTTTTTAGTGTTCTTTAATAATTCATGTATTGTGAATTTTTATTTAATATTTTATCAGTTTTAATACAAATGGTAGAATTGACACTATAAGTAGGTGATTTGACTTATTTAGTTTTGTTCGTTCCCTCCAATAGTTAACATCCCGAATTCCCGACCTGTTGAATTTTATTAAGTTAATCGTGTTTCTAAGTGTTTATATAGTGAACTTTTATTCGAAACATCGAAAGTATCAAACGTTATTTGTCTTTTCAGTGTAAATCAAAATTCCAGTAGTGCATTTTGTAGGGAAAAAGTTTGATAAAAGTTGGATGTTATTCCCAACGGTCTCGACTTGGAGCATTATGATATTTAATAAATTTTTATTTTTTACTTTGCTTTTGAGAAAAGAAAACAATTGGTACGAGTTACTAAGTTCGGTTACATTGGTTTTTTTTTGTTTTCGGTGATATATTTATTAATTGCAATCATTGCAATCATAAGTGAACATAACCTTAAAAATCAATTGGAAGTGCCCCTGTGAGTAGGCAACAGTTAGAATTTTCGCGCTTTGCAAAGGCGGGAATATTTGTACAATGTGAGTCAAATTCAAATTTTTAATTTAATTTTATTGCTGTTTATTTTTTACTTTTATTTTATTTTTATTTTAAATAATAAATAAGTATTTCTAATTTTTAGTTTCTACATTTACTTGAAGATTAATTATTGCTTTTAGTTTTTGGTTAAATAATTTAATTATTATTAATTATTTAATGTTTATTTTATTGTTTCTTTTCTATTTATTTTAAAGAAAAAGTAAATAATTAATTATTTGTTTATTTTCAATATGATAATAGTCACACAATTTATTATTAGAAGTAAATTAATTTATTTTACTTTAATCTTAAAATTTTTCAAATTATTTTTACATTTTGTGTTCTTTATTTTTTATAGAAACATTTTACTTTCTGACTTATTTCTCGTAATTGTTATAAATAAATTCAGTTATAAAATACTATTTATTTAATGGTGTGAGAATTGCAAAGAAAAAAGAAAAATTAAAAATTTTTTCTCTTTTGACATTAATTTTTAAAAAAAAGAGGTAAAAAATTGCTCATTTGCTCAAATATGTTTAAGATTATTTGACGCCTGTGTAGCTAATCCATGAGATAAAATTTAATCTTGTCGCGGGGCGTTTGGACGCAAGGTTCAGGTCAGCAACACCACGGCCACAATCCCCTTTCCCCTTCATTACCCCGACAATTTCTCCTTTCCACTTCTCCTCGAATATTATACTCCGCCCTTGCTTCCTTCCTTCCTTTCTAACACAACCACCCTTTTAACATTGCCTTCCTCGTTTTCTTTATTCTCATTTCATTGCCACCAGGGTGCAATGTTTTCGTATAAAAAAATATATGATAGAATTGTCATTAAATTAATTAATATTTATAACTTCCAATATCATTTTTTACACTTTTTTCCTTTTCTATTAAATTACACAGAATTCAATGATAAAATAATTTAAATATTACACGGAAAAAAATGTTTACCTGGAACGAACAACAAATTTCACTAAATTAGCGAAATTTTTAGTTGCTTTAATTAATACTTTTGTTATTCTAGAGAAACTTATCGATGTTCCAGATGAAGTTTTTTTTCTTGTAAAATTTATAGTAGTAAATTTATATTTAATTAATTATTAAAATAGAAACATATGACTGAAAAAATTAAAATTTTTTGATTATCTTTTTTGCAATGTTTATTATTAAAAAAATATTTAAAACATTTTTGAATATTTTGTACAAGAGAGGTTTAGGGGTAGGCGTCTGGGTCACCCCGTTTCATGTTGTTCTGACTGGTTGTCTGTCTGGCTTGTTGGGGTTCACAACCCCATTTTAAGCGCAACGTACTTTGCATGACAGAAATGCGTCGCTTGTTTACTTATAATTTGCTACTATGAAAGTCATTCGAAATCAGTATAAGTACAGCCAAAAATTTTTAAGCCATTGTCAAAACAAACATATGTAAAATTAAAAAAAGTTTTTTTGTTTTTAGTTTTTCTAAAATTAATTTTTCCAAAATTCTTTTTATACATATTAACCCCTTGTGGTTGTTGAATAGATTTTTACTGTTTGGGACAAATTTTTAATGCGGATTTTTATATGAAACTTGGTGTATCGTAATAAAGTTTTTAGTGTCGTTAATATTATGAATCTGACGTCAGTTTTTCAAAATTCAAAATAGTGTATCTAATATGGCTGAAAATTTATCTAAATTGATCGAATTCCTTTGAAACAATGGTTCATTGAATTCTTGGGTCCGTGAAATGTTTTTATTTTTTGCAAAAATATAAAGAATGAAACAATTTTTTAAGGTTTTAGTTTAAAGAAGTTACCTAAAATATAAGTTAAATGAATAAAAATAAGTGAGATTTGTGCTATTATTTTATCTTTAATTCAAACCCCAAAAAATGGTTTTCGTTACTAACATCAAGGGTTTATTCAAATGCAAATTTACCAGCTAATTTCAGGGTTAAATTTAATTTGATAGCTAATTATTTTAATTTAGTTAAACTAAATTTGATTTTATCAAAAATTATTGTGTATTCGATAAATCTGAATTAGAAAAAATGTTTACTGATTTGAATTATTTACTTTTGAAATAGTAAATTTTACAATAATAAATAGTAATTTCTACTTATGTATTAGTAAAGTTTACTAATTCGGAAGCAAAAAGCCAATCACAGTAGATTTTCTAACAAATTTTTGAATTTAATATATAGTTTTCTTACCATACTGATGAATACAAATTTAAAATTAATAAGAAAATCGTCTTATAATTTGTATTGTATTTAATTGTATATTAAATAAAATTGAATATTTCAATAACTATTGTAATTAATATCTCATTTTGAATTTTTTAAAACTGATGTTAGATTCGTAATCACACGCATAGAAAGGGTTTGCTGTGGCAGCGAACATTTTGCTGCCACAGCAAACCTTGTTCGTTGAAATAGGGATAGCGAAAAAGTTCGCTGTGAGATCAAACAAGTTCGCTATGACAGCAAACTCGCATAAATTTTTACTAATGTTTGCTGTCACAGCTAACATGTTCGCTGCCACTGCAAACTTCTTAGCTGTGGTAACTAATTTTCAGAGATTTCACAGCAAACATATGTTTACTGCTGCAGCTAATTTCTTTTTTTCCGTGCAGCGACCCCAAAAACCGCCCAGTAAAAAGTTTCAAGCCAATTCGGTTAATTTTTAATTTTGTCGTACGCCATATTGGATCCGCCATTTTGAATTTTGATAAATTGAGGTCGGCTACGTAATATCATTATTGAATTTTAAATTTCTGATGATTTGACAATTATGGATTTAATAATTTCAAAACTTCTAATTTTAAATTATTAAAATGTTTTTTATACTTTTTGGAAACCTTTCGACCATTTCTGAATACTTTATTATTTATTATTTTATTTATATTGAACCCCAATTTTTAATTATTGAACTTAGTTTCTACTTATTTGACAATTGTCATTTCAATAATTTCAAATAATTATTATTATTAATTCTTGAAATATGTTTTTTATTTTTTGGATGCCTTTCTACAATTTATTTCCAAACATGATTTGAAATTTTTAAACACGATTTTTGTAATTTTGGCCCCCAATTTTACAATTATTGAACTTAAATTTGAATTATTAGACAATTATTGATTTCAAAATTTCATGTTCCTAAAGTTCTGAACGTTTTATTACAAT